AGAGAGAGAGAGAGAGAGAGAGAGAGAGAGAGAGAGAGAGAGAGAGAATGGAAATCTTTCTATAAAACTGGATTAATAACATATTGATTATGCACGTTTTGTTTATCGACTCTTGATGACCGTCCGAACAAAACACAGACACACACATATTCTTGGTCTTGGTTTCAGTATCGCTCTCTCTTTCTCTCCCTCTTTCTCGTTTTCAAAATGATTGAATGCTCAAGTGTATAAAATTAAAACATCCGTGGAACGAAAGCTTTGCCACTGAAACCATCTTCCAGATACCACACACTTTCGTTGCGTGTTGCGCCAGTACACATACCTCATAGCATTTTTGAATAATTATTTGAACGAAAGGTAATTCTGGGTTAATTCAACCTCCTTATTATTTGGGTGCTATTTGTTGTGTAGTTGTACACAAAAGCTTTTGTATGTCAATAAGATAATAATAGTGAACAACTATGTCATCAAACCATACTCATTCCACTGTGTGGTCAAACTAAATGGATTCGGATGCTATCATCCTAATGAATGAGGGCATTAGGTAGCTTGAAGGCAATAAACCTAGCCGGATCACATATCTTGCCATTTTGAACATCATTGAGGCAAATTGTTCCGAAAAAAAAGAATTGTATTTATGTGTTGGCCATACGAAAATCTGCCGTAATGTCAACATTTGATGACGAAAGGTTTTTGCCTAAATGAAATCGTCACGCATGTTAAGTCAACACTAGCTTTAATTACACATACAAAACATAATTATCCAAATAATATACCAACCCTGCAATGGGACCCTCTATTTGCACAAAAGCCAAAACAAAACAAAACGGAAAAATAACAACCGGCTAAATATAAACGGTATTTTTTGCATCGCTCGTATTTTCGTACATATTTTGCGTCTACGTGCCACTATGTATATCGGATTGTTTTCTTTTCTTTCTTCGTCTTTCTATTCTATAGGTGTTGTGCCGTTGGATACTGAGCGTTAAGAAAAATTACCGTCCCGTTAAATACCACAATTGGCGACATGCACTCAATGTCACCCAAACCATGTTTGCCATGATGAAAACCGGAAAAATGGAGAGATTTGTTACTGACTTGGAAATACTTGGACTGCTTGTTGCGTGCTTGTGCCATGATCTCGACCATCGTGGTACAAACAATTCATTTCAAACGAAAACAACCAGCCCATTGGCCATTTTGTACACAACCAGCACCATGGAACACCATCATTTCGATCAGTGCATCATGATTTTGAGCTCCGAGGGAAACAATATATTCCAGGTGAGAAAATCCAAGTTTCAAATAAAATACATGCAAAACACATGTTCAAGTGTACTTCGGATGGTGCAACCACAAGAATCAATTTGGATAAAATGAAAATCAATTCCAAAAAGCTTTTCACCACTTTGCTTAGCATTATCCGGGTTTATGGAACACTTTCATCTAGTACATGTTCACAAGAATTCACTTTCGATGAACGGATCATGATTAATATTTCACATATTTTTTCGCTTTCATAATATAATGCGTGTGTTTTGCATTTTATCGTTGATGCAGGCACTCTCGCCGGACGACTATAGACGCGTTATGAAGATTGTCGAAGAGGCGATCTTATCAACCGACTTAGCAATGTATTTTGATAAATACAAAAAATTTGCCGATTATGTGGAGAATGGCGAATTTGATTGGCAGAACGAGGACAAAAAGGAATGTAAGTCAATGAGTCTCAAAGGGATTGCTGCCTTTCGGTCTCTCGCTCTTTCTCTGAAGAGAAGCAGAAAGCGAGCGAGCGAGAGAGAGGAAGTGATATCGTTCAGTTTTTTCCCCATCTATTCCATCATGTGGCTAATTATTTAATCTGTTGGTAACGACTAATTTTAGTGCTTTGTGGTATGATGATGACTGCATGTGATGTGAGTGCCATCGCAAAACCGTGGGAGGTACAGCATCGGGTTGCAAAATTGGTTGCCGATGAATTTTTCGATCAGGGTGACCTTGAAAAGCTACAACTCAACACAAAACCCATCGCCATGATGGATCGGTAATATTTGTTGTTTATCCAAAGCGCTCAACGACTACGAGAGCGAGTGAGCGAATGAAGATAGGGTTGAATATTAATTGAGAAAAAATATTATGATTACAGAGAACGAAAGGATGAATTACCGACGATGCAAGTGAGTTTCATCGATATGATTTGTTTGCCTTTGTATAAAATGTTATCGGATACATTCCCATGGATCAAACCACTATACCAAGGAACGCTAAATAATCGAAATCACTGGCAAGATTTGGCCGAAAAAGTCGAAATGGGGTATGCATCACTCATGTTCGCTTAATTTAAAGTAAATAGCGTAACCAAAAACTTATTTGTTCATACTTCTTCTCTCTCTATCTCTCTCTCTCTCTCTCTCTCTCTCTCTCTCTCTCTCTCTCTCTCT